ATTGTGTGTCCCGTTGCAATCCTAATCTTTACACAAACTGGTTAAAAAAGACGAAAAAAAATCTTTCTAAAAAATAGAAACACCACGTTACAAAACACGTCGGATAACTTCGGTGCTGTGAAGTGAAGCGGTCGAGCTCTTTTTTTAGTGTCGGTGCGGTCGGTCCAGGTGAACACTTCTTCCTCTGGTTTATTCTCCCAGCGGTCGGCTGGTTGTGTCGGGTGGGGTGGGGTGGGGGGGCCCCCGGGGGCCACGTCGTGCCTGTCTCCTCAGCCTTCCTCCCATCAGCCCTGCAGCCAGGCCGACTGTCAGCAGCACAATTAAGGGCTGTGCCGTAATGAAAGGGGCATTAGCAGAAGCAATTTATTTCCCAGCGCAGTGCCGGAAGGTCTCTCTGCTGCTGATATTCCGACGCAGGCTTTGTGTGCCTTACTCTGCCATTATGGGAGGACGCAGCCTGCCTGAACAAATGGAGTAAAGGGGAAAGAGGGGAGGGGATGCATGGAGGAGACGGGGCCACCGTTCATTATTCTTTCAATCAATTCTTATTTGAATATTTATTTACAGTGTACTTGTGTTTCTCTCCATTCATACTTTCTTCTTCTTCCATGTTTCGGCATCTTTTTCTCTGTTTTCTTGTTTCCTCGTCTCTCGTCATCTCCCACCTTTTGCCTCCTTCTCTGCTCCCATTTCTTACCACCACCAGCACCACCAGCACCACCCCCTCCTCCACCGCCACGCTCCTCTCCCGTTATTCCTGTGTTCATTTTGTTCCTCTGAAGTTTATTGAATTAGCGCAGACAGCTGAAATGCAGAAGATAACAGAGGCGCTCGCTCTCTCTCTCTCTCTCTCTCTCTCTCTCTCTCTCTCTCTGCTCCTCTCTGAGAAATAGTATTGCACGCTGGATGAGTGAGCTGTGTGTGTGTTTGTGTGTGTGTGAGTCTGCTGGAGGGGGAGGGGAGCTGAAGCAGAGGTTATAGACGGAGGAAATGGGGAGTATTGTGTTTTGATGTTTTTCCTGAAAGAGCGATAAAGACAGTGTGAGCTCAGTGGAAGATGAGCGGCTTTTCTGTCTCCAGTTCAGCGGTGATTATCTCTTAAACGCACCGTCCTTTGGCAAGGTGGGCACGCAGACATCACATCGTCTCCCTGATAGTCTTTGTTGTGATGTCAGACGAGGAGGCGATGACAGAAAGCTGCTGTGATTTGAGTTCTCGTCATTGAATCTGAGCTTTTATTTTTATTTTCTGTAGGCTCCGACATTCTCCTGCTGTCTTCTTCTTCTTTTACTTTATGTTGCCATCAACAGTTGGGGTCCTTCCCCATGTGTCATTGCTCTCTCTTTCTCCCTTATTCCCGACTCTCTCCACCGTCCTATATCTCCAATAAAAGCCCAAAAATACATCGTATCGATATTTATCCCCATCATTTTGGTAATTGTATCACAGAAGTCAGGACAATGATCTATTGAAATATCTTGTTTTCCAATCCGTGATATTGAACAAGAAAAGTCAGCGAGCACTGACCTCTGATAACAAAATTAGTTTCCTTCCTCTACATCAATTAAGACCGCCTTCTTTGCACACCTCCTCAGTCGTTGGAAGGTTGGCCAAACTTCTACTTACCCGTCTTCTCTTTAAACTTGTCGTATAGATTCACAGTCTTTGTACTGAGGACCAAAAAGCCATATGCTGGTCCTTAAATCCAACCTCAAGTGGGAGTGAAAGCTTTTAGGTTTTTTTTTTTCTGCTTGGATTGCAGGGATCACTTTACAGTCTGATCGTAGCCTTCAACACAAAGTAAAAGAACACTTTGAAGCTCTTAAAGCTACACATCCATTGTGTCCGGTCCAGGTGGTGTGTGTGCATTTATTTTGAATATCTACTGGTGTGTTTGTCTGCCACCTTTATGATCTTGTTGTGAAGCTGTGAGTTGCCGCCAGTGAGGCAAACTTAGTCAAACAAAAGTTGAGAAGACGAAGAAAGTCAGTCAAAAGAAATACCTAATGTCATTAAAGCAAAAACACTGGAAATTGTTGCGAAGTGGAAAGAATGCGTTGTGGTATTTTGAGCTCAATTAATCCTGCAGAAGCTTGAAGTTTGAGTTGAAGTTGGACACACAAACTAAACAGTCGCTGCCTCTTGTGTTGATTCCAGCTTGTTGTCTTCCTGTCGGGCCTGTGAACCAGCAAAACCTCGACCCTGTTTGTGATGTATGGACGGAGCAGCTTTAGTTGATTAGCAGTCTATTTCAGCATTACCCCCTCTGACCCCGGAGGTTTAAGGTGGCTGCGTCCCCCGTGTTGATTGTCTTTATTGATGAACAATCATTAGCAGGACGCAGGACGACTCCGCGAACAAAGACGGGGCAGGAAGCAGAGAGGAAGAGGAGCTGGAGGCTAATCTCTGTGGCAGCAGGTGGCAGCAGGTACAAAATGGACAGAAACCATGACAGGGCTTTGATTGACAGGTGTTTCTGTCTGAGACAAGTGGGCAGCGCAAAGGTCGTTGACCTCATTAACCCTAGCCGGGCTGGGAGGGGCTGTCACAGCAGAGCAGTACCAAAACCACATCTGTCTTGAATTGAGAAAAATTGCTCTAAATTTTGACATCCTTGTAGAATATTCAATAATTATAAATACAAAAATTAAAGGTGTGTACATTTGGGATTTGACCCTTTCCCCAGTTTGTTCTAATTAAGGGAAATCCTTAGGAAGCAAGCGATGATACGTCAGACGATAACGTACTACAGCTTTCCTTGACCTGATTAATACTCTCACTAAACTCGAGTTAATCCTGCAGCAAGGTTCAATATCTCTCAGGAGAGTTGAGGCTGCTTTAATGGTTTCTTGGATTATCCGGGGGTGTGATATTCATGTGTTCACATCCTTCATTGATTGTTCTCATACTTTTTATCCTGGCTGTGCACGGGGAAACCCATCAAGTATTTACATTCTTTATTTATAGCAGAAGCTACATTTTGATAGACTAAAACAGCTGTAAGGGGGCCCAGATGGCCTAGCGGTTAGGTTGCACCCCATGTACAGAGGCTATAGTCCTTCAAGGGGGCGGTTCAAATAAATGTTTCTCCTTTCTGGCATGTCATTGGCAACTCTCTCTCTCCACAATCTCTGACTCTATCCACTGTCCTGTCCTAACAAAGCCTCAGTCTCGTCTCGGAATCGAAAACATTTTGACTCGGTCTTGTCTCGGTCTCAGTCCGGTGGACTCATGATTTTAAATCAAGACCGACCTAGACCACCACTGATCGGCTATTTTCACGTCAACTTCTTTTCATTCATAAATTTGATTTTCTTCCCCCGGTTACGGACGCAGCAATCCCGGTGTTAAGGTCTAAGCGAGTGACATGCTGCAGACTTTTATTTATGGTCTTGGTCTCATCCTGTCTTGGTCTTGTCTCGGCCTAGAAGCACTCTGCTCTCGGTTAGTGTGGTCTTGACTACAACACTAAAAGTCTCTAATGATTCTTTTGATCAGGCCTGATTTAAACATTGAAGAAAGATGTAGAAGTTTTCTTTTGCGCTGATGGAAAGCAGAGGTTCAGTGTTACTAATACTCCATCGATGAGCTGGACAGTTTTTTGAATGTGCAGCAGCAGCCCAGGATCTTTTTTTTTGGACGGCCTGGACGAAAAAACTAATTTGAGGAAGTGTTCTAATCAATCACAATGATTATGTGGCCTCCTTTTAAGAGCTCGGTGAGTCAGAGTGACTTAGACGACGACCTTCTTATCTGCTGCCGGCAAAGTGTCTCGTTTGAAGAAGCGAGTTCGGCCTGATCTTTGACCCTGTTTACTTGTGTGTTTTTCCAAAAGGCCACAGAGCCAAGTGTGCTCTGTCAAAGTGAATATCCTCCTCCAGACTCCGGAGAGAACTCCTCCTTCCCTCCTTCTGTCTCTCCCACGCTGATTTATACATCTCCCACCGTTCTCCTCTTCTGTACGACACATGTAACCAATAACCGAGCATGGGTTCAAAACAGTTTTTCCAGGATTTAGCCTGTGTGTTTCTGTATTTCTGATCTCTGACACTTTATGAGAAATCAATCCAAGCTTGTGCTCCTTATTTTGGGATAACAATTCCAAACCAAGTCCATTTACACGCCCAGAAATTCAGGTAAAAATAAAATTTCTACTAAAATCAGGAAAGCCTTGCTGGTAAAAGTGCGTCTTAAGAAAGGATTTAATAGAGATGACTGACTCGGCTCATTCCACAGCTTTGGAGCCCTCACTGCAAACGCTCTTTATTCTCCTTTGGGTTTTTTTTGGAACGACCAGAGGACCTCTGCCTCTCACCGTACCAGTCGGCTCGTTTGGTACTCACAGGTCTGATATATAGATAATGATTGATTGATTGATTGATTGATATGTAGCAGGGAGAAAGGCCATGCAGAGCTTTTACAGTAATCAGTAAAAATCATACAATCTCTTCTCAAACACGCAGGGAGCCTGCATCTGTCGACCTACTCGTATCACTGACGTTCATGTTTATCAAGCGACAATTGTCATCATATAGTATCGGTCTCCTTTGCTTTTCCGACATTTCCATCTTATTCATTTTAAGTCTTGTACTACTGTAGGCAATCTACCTAAAATGTACTTTTCAGGAGTAAATTTGTGAAAACGGCTTTAAATGCATCTTGTATATCCTTCTTTCTAGCCGATGTTTTCTACCCCTCTGTCTTGTGCATTTCTCCAGCTGGGTTGCATGGGAAACTTAACGCAGTGCGGTGGTTTACAATGTTGGATTCTGCTAAACAGAACCACTTGAAGTTTGTTATTCAGTGCAGTGAGCGCCGCCATGTTTAGCTTTAACATGTTACCGAAGAGAGTACTGTGAATTACAGGAGCTCAGGGAAGTGGTTTGTGTTGTCATAAAACATAAATGTGAAATGTTTGATGAATCTTCAAGCAGCTCGGAGGAAAAGTGGACGTTTGAGTAAAACATCAGGTGCAGAGTGTAAAACCACAACCTGCCGACATGAAGAATGAAGAGAAGGAAGAGAGCAGGTTTGATTTTCAGAGAGGAGAATTGTTTCAGTTCTCAAATGTGCAACATCTGCCTCTTGTCAACTGTGAATTTGATAATGAAGAAAACAACAAGAGCATGACAGCCTAACAGGATTTCGTAGCTGGTGTTAAGTGATTAAACTGAAAATGAATGTTGACTCGCATAAGTGCAGCGCTTTGATTTGTTTCCTGAAATGGGGCACATTAATGGGATGTTTTTGAGCAAAAAAAAAAAAATCATGAAGCTTATTCTTGTTGTGATTTCTGCAGCCTCAGTCGCAGGTGAGAAGAGAATGTGTTTCAACGAAAGGATCACAGACGTTTCTTCATCCAGCAGATTTTTTGGGTTTTTTTTTTGCAGCCGCAGACCTCAGGTTTTTGTGTCAGCTTCAATGTCATGGCGGATTTGAGAGTGTGCTGCTGCCCTCCTCCAGCGCATTAGCATTTCTCCTCTCTCTCCCCCCCCGCCCCGATTCCTTTTCCCCTCCGCAGTCTTCCCTCTGATGTCACGCCGGAGCTCAGACATGTTAACACGAACCTTCATGCTAACACGGTTCACTCGGTCGCTGGAGAATATTCTTTTACCTGCTGCAGGAGCGCAAAGAGACTTTTTTTTTTTTTTTTTCATTTTCTCCGTCTCCGTTTACAATAGATCAGAGGCCTGTGCTGCACTGCTGAACTCCCGAACTCCTGTATACATTACTAATGAACCTCTGGATTGTTATACAGTCATATGTTAACAGGAAAGACAGAGGCCCTAGCTCTTTGTGCGTGTGTGTGTGTGTGTAAGACTTATGCAGCACTATCATGAAGGTTTCTTGGCCCGGGCCCGCTCTAATTGATAGGGGCTGCTGGTATTTACTTACGTTCTCAGGGTGGATTAAATCTCAAAGGAAAGGGGAGGAGATGGAGGTTGTTTTTCTCCCGGCTTTGTTTTAATATGCACACTTTTTGTGTGTGTGTGTGTGCATGTGTGTGAATGTATATTTATGCATATCTGTGTGTGTTTTGTTATCCCATGTGGTTCTGCGTTTGTCCTTCCTCCATGACTGTTGAATCCTGTAAAGCTGCATGACGTCCAGGCACCACAGAGCACCAAATCTAATCACCAGCCTCACTCTAATGTATGTGCTGCTCCGCTGGCTTAACGTTATGTGTGTGTGTGTGTGTGTATAGGAGCACAGAGGCTTATTTACTGGACACAGTCAACAGTAAATATCATTATCTCTGAAGCTACTATTTCATTTTGTCTTGTGGGTTTAATGTGGAGTCCGGTCCTGCTCGGGGAAACCGAGAAGCTCGATTTGCTTCAGCGTGTCTGGGCTTCAGCTTCGAGATTTCTGCCTTTCTGAAAGAGCTTTAAAGCAGGAGGGACTTCTGATTGATGTGAAGTTGCCAGGTTACAAAGTAAACATGCTGAATAAATATCACAAACATAAAACTACTGGTAACATGAAATAGTCTGTTGAGACAAGAGTCACAGAATTGTTGTCCGCTTTGGCTTAAAATGACATTCACAGATCATCATGTTTTTCAAACACTCACATGTGCCCCTAGTCCGTCTACAAACCCTCCAGTGATGAGTAATGTCCATCATCCTCCGTCTTTTGCCTGCTCCACTTTTCAGAAAAAGTGTGCTCAAACAGGCCGTTTGGAGATTTTCCCTTCTTGACATCACAAAGGGCAGTGACCCCTCCCCCAGGTGGGTGTGTCCACATTAGCGGCATAAAAATCGCAGATTTTCAAAGTCCATGGACCGTTGGTGGAGCGAGTTTTGGTGGGGTCCAGTTCAGTATTGATGCTGCATGAGGTGGTGAAGGTCCTGTAGAGGAATTTATAGATAAAAAGATTGAAGCGTTGAGTCAAATGTACAGTCGGTACAGTATGTTGATAAAGGTAAAAGAAAAACATCATTAAACTAATGCAGAAACATTACAAACCTTAAGACTCTACAAGGCTGTGAGGCCACTGAATATTTAAAAAATGTGAATCATCTTCCTCCAAAAGAGGCCAGAATTCAACACCTCTTAAAAAAAATGTGTCACCCGTTTGTATATCATGATAGAAAATGTATTCACCCGCCCACCACTGTTAGAAACTTGTGACCACAGGCGGCGACTGCAGATGGCTACACGCTACAGATGGCAACCAGCTTGTCCACAGTTTAGCTCCCTCTAACAGGACCTTACAGACGACAAAACAGAACAACAGCAGACTCCAGCTTCTGTTTCTGGAGCTGTAACATCTTATTTTCTGTCATAGAGAAGAAAGCAAAAAAAAAAACAGGAACATCTTCCCAAATGAGAGGTCTAAAATGTTGACTCCTCCTCCAAAAAAACAAAAACATTCTTGTCTTTTTTTTTTTGTTCGAGGTGCCTATTTTCTCCATCTCTGTTCATGACGTCTCCTCCAGGCAGAAACATTTTGATTCCATCGTTTGGGGGGCTGATTTTATGCCATGTTTGTGCGCACATGCAGGTTCACTCTGTGTGTTTGCATGTCCATGTTAGTGTGTTTGTGTGTATGTGTGTGTGTGTCAGGTTGGAGATAGCCGCGTTGATTATGTGTCTGATGTTGTCGACAGAGTGACATCCCTTCTAATGAAATAATGGTCTAGTGGCAGAGTGCTGGAAGATTGCACATTGTAGACTTCAATTACAGACGAGATGATTTCCCCCCCTCTCCTCGTCTTTTCCTTTCAGTGGGAAGGAAGTGCAGGTTTTTCTTCCTTTTTAACGGACGCCCTCACGTCAAACAAAAAGGCTGTGCCACGCTCTGCTCTAAGTGTTTTTTTTTTCTTTGAGATAATGGACAGAAACAACATGGCATGCTTTAATTCCCCGACTCCGTCTTTAGCCAATGTGAAGCCATAAATACAGCCATTGCCCTCCTCGTGTGCACAAACCAACCCGACACAGAATGTCTCCTCTTTTCTTTGACGAGCAGTTTGCGCTCCACTGCATGATTTATTCTGCAGACCATGTGTTAGGTGTTATTTATTTTGCACAACAAATGATCTTTTTTTTTTTTTTGTTAAGGTTCCACTTTCAGCTGTGCACCTTCTGCTTTCCGGTATGAAATTAGCATAGATTTCCTAAAAATATGCCCCAGAATCAAGTACACCTTCTTTTAAAGAAATACAAATTAAAAAAATAAAAACACAAGGAGAGAAAAGGACACATTTTCTGAATGTCTGCACTCCTCTACAGAAATAGTTATTTACCGTAAAATCAGGGAATATAAGTCGCAGTCTGTTTCTGAAGGTCTCGTAGAGGAAAAAAAGGTTTATACTGTCTTCCTGCGTGACGATTTCTATCGTGTTCAGCAACGTCAACAACGTGCAGTTTCTGCACAGCTGTGTCGCTCTTTTAGCCACTCAGGTTATCTCAACCTGTGCTGAACAACAAAGTGAATCGATCACGGTGTAGCAGAGTAACTGGTGTAATAAATCTTCAAATCTTAACTCAAAGAAGTCTCCTGTCTCAGCTCAATGATGTGCATGTTTAACCACAAGACTTCCAGTACAAATCTTGATATTTTTGCACATGTGATGAACGCTAACTACAACCCTGATGTACCCCAAAAAAATTACATACATCATAATTCAGAATGAGTGCAAAAACTCGGTTCTGAGCTTAGAAAGTCATCTTTTTAAACATTAAATATCTGTTCTACATAATTTTATTAGTTTTTAATACCACACTTGTCACAAAGGATTAGTCAGTTATTACACAGCTTCTTTTGAATCAGGGTTGTAGAGTCCAAGTGTAAAATATGTCCCACAGTCCAGAAGCCGAGAATCATGAACGTACTGAATAAATCTTGTCGTAATTGTCATAATTAATTCATTTGAGTTAATTAGCGACCCACTGATTAATCATAACACATTCATGTTAACGTTTAATGTGAGTTTGTCGTGACATCAATTCTCACCAGCTCTCTGTTTCTGTCTTTTTTTTCAGGGTGGACCCAATCCCTTATGACACTCCCAAACCAGCAGGACACACCAGGTTTGTGTGTGTGTCCGACACGCACTCGCGCACAGACGGCATACAGATGCCCTACGGCGACGTGCTGCTGCACACGGGCGACTTCACCGAGCTGGGCCTGCCCTCCGAGGTTAAGAAATTCAACGACTGGCTAGGTACTGAAGCTGCTTAAGACACACATTCATACACACGCCCGCTGGACACGTGCATTGTTTTTACACTCGCACAAAAGCTGACGTGCAACAGGCTCTGTTGAGCAGGGACGTGCGGACGAGGGCGTGAGACATGTTGCACGCACAACCATCAACTAGACCACACAATGGCTCCGCCTCCCTCCCCTGTTGACCCCAAACTGCTGCTCTGAAGTGTCCAGTTTAACCCCTGTGACCCAACACCCTGCCCCAGTTAACCTTTGACCTCTCCCTCTGGCCCCATGCTGTGGGTGGGAGCGCTCAGCTGTGTGTGTGTGTGTGTGTGTGTGTGTTGTTTCTCACTCAACAGCAAGTATTTCATCTGGGGACCCTCCAGGCGAGCGCTGAAGGAACTCTGGAGCAGTTTTTGAGCCTTTAATGTAGTCATGTTTCACACAGTGGAAAAAAATAAAAATCATCCCTCAAAGCGAGTGCATAAATCAATAAGTGCCACCCACCACACAGGCCTCTAACTATTTAACATGTTTGAATTACTTTGTGTGTGTTTCAGACCAAACAGTCTGCTCACTGAATGTTACAGGGAAAAAAAAGCACAATGTCCTGAAGTCATTCTGAAAGACTGAACTCAATGGACAGAAGCAAGTTGTCAAAAAGTCTTTTCAGTTTGAATATCAATCAGAAGTGGAGCCGTCGGGCAAACAGACAACCTCCCCCGTACGACTTCATGTGGCTGATGTCGGCTGTTTATACCCTTTAAATCTGAGAGGAATAAAGATGCTTATAGTGAAATAATAATAATAATACATTAGATTTATAAAACGCTTTTCTGAGTACTCAAAAGAACGAAAAGAAAAAATAATTTGAGATTTTTAAGGCTCAATACATGTGGCAACCTCCAATGTTGAAAAAGGAAGCCAATGCAGAAGTGCAAAATTCTGCAGCTCCTCAAGTGTCCACTAGAGGCTGGCTCCAGGAAACACCAGAAGTCACATACACACCACAGCCAAAAAAGCTGTTTTTACAGCATAAACATGTTTACAGCCTGGTACAAAAAACTAAATAGGTCTGATTAGTTATTGTCATCACTGGCACACACTGCACAGGGGGTACGATACATGTAATCCATAGTTAGGCAAGTAGCTGACATGATTGACAGGTGGGCGGGATGTAACGGTTTGTCAAGAGGCTTAAAACCCGCCTCAGCTCCAGCTCTCAGCCTGTCGTTAGGTTGACTGAAAGTTAGGCTGAGACAGCATTTCCAGCATGGCGGTTGCTGCTGATGAGCCTCCAGAGTCTCCTGCAGGAACAGATGGCTGACGTGACTCATCCATTAATATTTACAGTCTGTGGTTTAGATTGTTGTGACTATAATCCCAAAAAGTTGCAATGAATCAGATTTGACCTTATAATAGCTGCTGTATCCTGTCACATGGTTTAAAATGTATTATTTGTTTTCTGCAAAAGTCCAACCTTTAAAATCTCAAGTTCAGGATTTATGAACTGAGATTTTTGTTTTTGGCTGTACCACAGACGAGCATTCACTTTAAAGTCCTGCCAGCTGCTGTGACCCTATTGCCCCTGAAACGTACTCACACACTGACACACAAAGGGCAAAGACACACACAAACACACAGGCAAGTCCAATCCCCCCCCCCTCCACCCCTCCTCTTTCTTTTCTGCTGTGTCACCTCAAATTCAGCACCTGTACCACCACGAGGACACACCGGTCAGCTTTTCTGTCAAACTCGTCCATCCATCATCACAGACAGCTACGTCAGTGTGTGCATATCTGTGTGTGTGTGTGTTTGTGTGTGTGTCTGTTAAGTCAGGGTGAAACACTGATATCGATCATAACGGGGGATCGATGCTGCGCAAAGTAGAAATTGTCTTGTGTGTAATTTGGAGCGTTCAGCATGCCACATACTGTTTCTACTGTCCTGAAGGTTGTGAGTCCGTGTGCAGCCTGGACGTTGAACTCTACAGTTGAGAAGAAAGAAAATTACCAAACATTTGAAAAAAGTTTGAAATCTATTATGAGAGTAAAGTGAAAATGTCCCAGGAAAAGTCGATGAGGTTATAAGAATAATTTTTATATTTAAAAAAAAATGGTCAAATTAGGTTATAAATTTAGGATAAAGGCAAATCAAAGATCATAAAGATTAAGGGGCTGTGTCCGCCTGTCTTTTTTTTGGTGCAGAAAAAGCGCTGACTGTGCGTTCTGGGGTGCTTGGATGAAGCGTTTGTGTACGACCGACAGTTCTCCATTGACTTGAACTTCATGTTTTATATTTGAAATTGTTTTTTCCCTTCACTTATGAGCATCAAATGGAGGATGTTTGTCCTCCTACTTTGTCTGGACATGTAGCGAGGAGAATGTGGGTGCAGGGCATGATCTGTAAGAGACAAAAATCTGGGGCATTTCTTCAATTTAAAAAAAGAGCGTCGGTGACGTCAACAGCGCCCTTCTAAAAAGTAGATTTTTAATTAGAAGTGTTCAGAAAAAGGACGCTGGGCTGAGCTTTTTCCTCTGGATGGCCGCCTGCTGCTGCAGACGCTCTCTTTATTGAAAAGGAAGACGCTGGCACTCAAAAAAAACGTGAGCCTTAAACAATAATAAAACCAGAATCCATAAAATTATAAGAAGACAGATGATACAGTGAATCTTATGATATTTGTCAGATGTTTAGATGATTTTAACCCTCATGAGAGATGCTCTGTCTTTTTCTGTAAAGTCAGTTTTGGTTCAGTCCTAAAGAAGGTGTTATTTCTCTCGCTTCAGAAAGAACATCTTTCCAATGAATCTGATCCTCCATCAATGAACGTGTTTGTGTTCGGTGGAAGAGGGAGCTTTGAAGTACATGAAAACATGTTTTCTGGTGGTGTGTTTTGTTGTGGTTTGGAGGACATGTCCTCTCAGCAGTGTGCAGACTGAGGAAAGTAAGGTTTTAAATTGTGGCTCTAATGGTTGATAGAAACGCTGCATCCATACAGATTGTTTTTTATGAGGAAGAGGAAGTGCATGATAAAGGTGCGTTCTTCCATGCAAGGCCGATTCTTTGTTCTTTGTTCACAAGGGCAGAAGGGAGAGACTGAGTCAGACATGGCAGAGATCAAGACCGGGCAGTAAGATGAAAGACTGAAGGCATTTTTATTTATTTATTTATTTTAGGGCTTTCTGTGCCTTTTTAATGGAGAGACAGGACAGTGGATAGAGTTGGAAATCAGGGAGACAGAGTGGGAAATGACATGCAGGAAAGAAGCCACAGGCGAGATTTGAACCTGGGCCGCCCGCTTGGAAGACGACAGCCTCCATACATGCGCACTAAAACCGCAGCATTTTAGGAGGACATTCATCAATGGTAACGCACGGATAATGTCCCCCTTTGTTAGGACTTAGTATGGTATGTGTGATGATGTGCGGTCTAAAAACACTTTGAGTTGTCAGAAGACAAGAAAAGTCCATTTCCTGTGCTACCATAACTAACAAACACACAGTGAACTTAAGATTGGATGAGACTGTTTTGCTTTCTTCCTGCTCCTGTGCCGCCGCCGCCTCCTCCTCCTCCTCCTCCTCCTCCTCCCACTGTTAGCCTCGTTCGTCTGCTCCTCTCAGACTCTGGAGGAGGCAGCAGTTTGTCGCCTGTATCGACTGATGGTTTGGCCTGTTGATGGAGATCATCGAAGATCGATGCAGAGGAACGAGTTTCCCCTGACCCAGCTTGTCTTATGGGAAGCTCGGGCTCTGATCTGCCTCTTTGAACTGCTCCCAGAAGCCTTTATAGACCGTGTGTGTGTGTGTTCTGCGTGTGTGTGTGTGTGTGTCCTGCTTAGATGTGTAATGTGTGTAAATATAAAGGCTGATGTAGGCGCTGCAATGAGTGAGAAAGGGAACATTGACAGTTTTCCTCCCTTCATGTGTAGACATACTTTTTGAGACGGTATTTTCAATGCTTAACTTTTAAGTTCCTTTAAATTACCATCTCAAACTTTTCATGTTAATTATTTGTGTGGCACCTTTCTTGACAAGAAGTCGAGTGTAGGTGTGCTTTTAGGATCAAGCCTGACTTTATTTCCCACAGATCCAAGCAGTGCCGTGTGTGACAGAACTTATCAGTCCAGTGTTTCCCCTACCATTACATTAGGGGGGCGGGAGACTTACAGCATTAACTGAGTCTGCTGTTGTAAATGGAAACAGTAAATGGACTTGAACTTGATTAGTGCTTTTCTAGTCTTCTGACTGCTCAAAGTGCTTTTTACACCGCAGGTCACAGCTACACATTCACACGCTGATGGTAGAGGCTGCTGTGTAAAGAGTAACTAAGTAACTAATCCATTCATATTCATACGCCGCTGATGAAGCAGCTGGAGCAACTTGGGGTTAAGTCTTGCCCAAGGACACATCGGACATGTGGCTGCAGGAGCTGGGGATCGAACCCTCGACTTTCCGGTTGAGAGACGACCGACTCTACAAAGTGAGCCACAGCCGTTGTAACTGAGCTGACCCCGTCACACCGATTATTACTCGGATGGAAAACAAGTCTCCATCTCTGTGCTCCTCGGGATGTTGTGAAGAAAACCTTGAAACAGCATCCAATTTTTAGTTCTTCAACATTGTGGCTTCATCAATCAATCAATCATTTTTTTTGTTTAGCGCCAATTCATTACAAGTGTTATCTCAAGAAGCTTTACAAAAGAGCATATGGGATAGGATGCAGGAAGGATTTCTCCTTTGTATTCCTCGGGTTCCTGTTGTCCACATTTCCTTAACGCCGAGGTGGAGGTCGGAGCAGACAGTGGGGACGACACAGTCCCATTTTAGTCTCCGTCTGTGTTGTGTAAACTCGTCTCAGAAAAAAGATAGCGTCTTAAGATTCACACTTTGCAAACTTTAAATCAGTAACTTTGTCCTGCTGAAGTTTGCAGATTCTTGAATGAGTTAGGCAGTTTGAACTGACGGCTTCATTAAAGGTGACTCATTTTACCTCCAGGTGTTTTACCATCACATACACCTGAATATGTTTCCATAAGTTTGGACTTCTTTAACAGACCTGCTGCTTCTGCTCTAATTGGAAGACATATGAAGTCTTCAAGGATTCACTTGACAAGAGGGTTGAGGGACGCCGATGAATTTATTTATTTAAGATATTCAGCTGTTTAATGTCAAGTAGTAGTAGTCTACACTTGTACAGAGTTTTTTTTGTGTGTGTGTGTTCTTCAATCTTGAACAAAACGTGCAGCGGCCTTTTGAGAGGAATAACAGACATTCCTCTGCTCACATCGCTCTTGTTCTTTACTGACTTTCATCGTTCACGCCGCCTGTTTGTGGGCAAAGAATAGAAAATAAATCTCGGTGTATCACTCCAGCAGTCCGCTGTTAGATGTATCACAGCGGCAATAAAAAGCAGACGAAAATTCCCAGTAGAGTAATGGAGGTGGAGTTGTTTGATGGTAATTATGTTTTCCCCACCCTTTTTCCCAGCCTGCTGCTGGTGGAGAGGAGGATTCGCTTTAGGGTGTGTGTGTGTGTGTGTGTGTGTGTGTGTGTGTGTGTTCATGTGTGTGTGTTCGTGTAAATGGATGTGTGATCCAGTTAGAGTGCTGTGGGACTGAGAGACGGCGCTCTCATATAAGGTTAGACTGGAATTTATGATCCTGAGATGCGACAAGAGCTAATTTAGAGCAGCGGGGATGAAACCTGTAGACCGGGGGAACCATGATTCTTTCATTTTCAGCATTAGAGCACACACACACACACACACACACACACACTATAGACAGTTGCCGTGCCATATTTTATTATCTGCATCCAGCAGCCGTATCTCGACTGAATTTATATTCTTTTCAGTTTCTATCGGTTTTATTTCCAATTGTGAACTGGACCGCTGCAAAATTGAGCAGATCGCTTACATCCTTTCTTTCAACTACTGTCGTCAGCCAGAAGGCGCCTTTATTCCACTAATACGATATATTGGATTTCTTTATTCAACATTTGATTCGATTTGACCTCCTGCCATGAATCATAACCTCCTGCTATTGGCTGCCACAGCAATATGTTTCAGAGGAAACAAAAGGATAAAAGCACCTGAGCTGAATACCTTTTGTCTTACTCCAGCTCTGTGGTGTAGGTGGATGAAGGTACCTTTAAGTGTTCTGTGCAGTAAACCTGAAGTGTCTGTGAAGGAGTTAACTCTTTATACAGCTCTTGTTATTATATCAATTAGATCCTGTAAAATCTGATGCACGGTGATGAAAGATTTGGCTTTGTATGTTTTGTACAGTGTCATACAAACTCGAGGTGGGGGACAAAATCGATACAGCATAGCATCGCGATATTTTGTGTGCTGATTGTCTCATGGCCCCCAAGTGTTGATACTTTCATTACATTAACAGCAAGCATGCTTTTTTAATTTTTAATTGCTGTAGGGGTTGCACGATTCATTTTGAACACACTGCATTGTTCAAGTCCGATTAGACTGAAATACCAACAGTTCAGATTGTGAGGTGCACTCAGCCTTTTACAGAGTTTGACTTTGATCACAGGGTTGCTCAGTCTGTGGGCTTCATTCTGTAGAAATAAAAAGACTGAAGAGAGAGGAAGAGACTGAGAATGTTTCCTTATTTGACAAAACACTTGATTTAGTTAAATTTTGTGGGCATAATATGCAGTTTACAAAAAGATTTAATCACAGTAAATTGTATCACTATTCTCAGCATATCTCAAAATGTTTAAAATTGTGACTCAAGGATAGTGATGATATCTTATCGTGGGGCTTCTGGTGATTCCCTACCCATAAAACAAGTCTTTGTTTTGTGTTTTCATGAGCTGAACTGAATCATTCATCACAATCAGGAATAAACACAGATAAAAGATTTTAAAACATCGGTCAATGAGGATGTTACTTAGCTTCTAAACACCAACAACAAACAGCTTCTGATGTTTAATTAGAGCAAAGAATTTATTTCTTTACCACTGTGTAACCCCCGTGTGATAAAAGTGGGAGTGCTTGCCAGCATCGATTAGGTAGCTGATAACTCTACAACGAATTTATACATTTGCAATAGACTTTTTTTATTTTGCATTGTGTCCTGTTAAACTCTTTTAAACAGCCTGCTTAAGCTGAGGCTGTTGCCCACTTGCCATCATTTGGCTTTCAGCAAGGTTTATTGGATATAGAAGGCTGTGTTTTAGCTTTATGTACAAATTAAACGTCAATATAGGAAGAATCTTTAGTTGCAGCCCTTTTAACAGGAAGCCCCCTGAAGCATACATGCCAGTACTTCACATGGCCGTGGTCCAGTTAACGCTCCTGCAGGTGGATAGAGGACCTACAGAGCAGGCCCAAAAAAACACAGAATGAAGGGAGACTGGAACAAAATCAACAGGAAGCCTCACAAAGAAAGAGAAAAAGACAGATTGGAGGGTGATGAAGGCCAGAGCCTTTTGGCTGAGCATTCAATCGGCTGGAAGAAAGCAGGAAGTCAGTTTCTTGATGGCAAAGGGGAAGCGGGACAAATCACCCCGACAGAGAGGAGAGAGGAAAGGGCACAGCGGAAGTTGAAAGATGAGGGAATGAGATTCGTAATAGATGTTCTCCTCTATTTAGTTCAGGTTCATGCTTCTCTCAGCCACCCCGGCGTCTGCAGAGATGGACGGTGGTCTGCAGGGGTCAAACAGAGCCGTCAGATGTGGTTGTAACCTTTGTGACTGTCTGAATTGAGGGTCCCCCCCCCCCCTCCACTTATCAGAGTCTTTTCTTCTTCTGATCCTGATCTGTGCTCGGGGTTAGGTATACAGGGAGAGTTCGCTCCATGTACAGAATATTAGAACAGCCTGCTGTTTCTGTAGAGAAAGACGGAACAGGTAGAAAGTTCAACACCTTTTTGGATTTTCTTGAATACTTTTCTACCATAAAAGAGAGCAAGGCTGCAACATTTGGACGATATGTGCTGTGTCCAAAAACTTGTTCATTTTGGATTAAAAGAGAAAACTGAAATCTTTATGGAAGTGACAGGACAGTGGATAAAGTCAGAAATCAGCGATTGAGAAAGTAGGGAATGACGTGCCGCAAAAGACTCAAACCTGGGCCACTATCTTTGAGAACTTTATCCTCTGTACATGGGGCTCATGAACTAACCACTAGGCCAGGAGTTCCCAAACTTTGCATGCCAGTGACCCTCACATAGCATCAACCTGTGGCGGTGACACTCTCTCTCTTAAATCCTTTTGTTTCGATTGCAAATATCAGAAATGAAATCAACAGCTTCTTTCTCCCAAGTTTATAAATCATTTCATTAAACATAGTTTTGTTGTTTTATTTTACAATATTGAAAGATTGCCATAGAAACACAAATGTGGATACACAGTGGGCAATAACATCTCAAAATATATATCAAAATGTTATTTATAGCAGTATAAGTATAAGTTGAATTTTACTTTTGGTCCAGTTTCCTCACTCTTCAAACCCAAGTGTCTGTGCCCCCCCCCCCCCCAGAACCTCCTGGCGACCCCCACTTTGAAAAACACTGCACAAGACCACCGGTGCCCCAGTGTTGCCGTCTTTAATGCCTCAGCAGCTAACTGTCACTCTGGAAAAAAACAAATATAGGTTAAGGGACAATTTTTGCAAACTTCTGCTGAAAAATTGGTAAATCATTAATTTTGGTTTTACTTCAATATTGCTTTAGTAACATTGTGCACAGAGTGGAGGATCACAGACTTTATTTTGGAGCCATTCAAATGTTAAGCTAAAACTGTTCTTCACATTTGCACTCCTGAAAATTCGTAAAAACAACGACCTGAAAAAGATTTATCTGTTTGTGTTCGCACATGAAGTTCACTCTGAAAACTTCAAGACTTTTTCAAGTGTGAACAAGGCTTCAGTGACTGTTTCCAGGCTCTTTTGTTTGTGCGCTGAATGCTTTTCCTGCTGAAACAAACATAAAATGTCAAGTCAGGGGTTTGAGAAGATGTCATTGGGTAAGATGATAAACAAACCTTTTGAGTGTGAGAATGAAGCAGTGCGGACTCGAGCTGAACGTGTGGAAACATGTGGATTTTGGACTTCAGCTGTATTTCTCTTGTCTCGTCTAGGTGGCCTCCCGTACGAGTTTAAGGTGGTGATCGCCGGAAACCACGAACTGACCTTCGATAAGGACTTTATGGCCGAGCTGGTCAAGCAGGATTACTACCGATTCCCCTCAGTGTCCAAACTCAAACCCGAGGACTTTGACAATGTCCAGACGCTGCTCACAAACTGTGTGTACCTGCAGGACTCGGACGTCACCATAAAGGGATTCCGGATATACGGAGCACCGTGGTAAGAGCACAAACTCTTCTCTGTTTTTGTTTTTTTTTTCCCCTCCATGCAAAGCTGCTCTCATCTTCCATCTTGTCATAAACCACTGAGTCACATTTCTGTCTCGTTGTCCTGAAGAGAAGGTGTCTCTTCTCCTCTGTCATTGTCTGGCAGTTTGCCAGCTCCCACCCTCCGTACTCAGCGTGCTGAACGCTCTCACCGAGGCGCCGCTCCTACATGCAGGGTGCTATTCCCAGCTCGCACGCTCCTTTATGAGCCCGAGACCTCCGCCTGCTCCCCGGGCTTACGTTACACCGGTGTTTTGACACGGGGTTAAGTGATCCGCGTGTTACCGGGACACTCTGTCAATAGGCTCTCAGGTGTGGAAAGAAAGAAAGCAAGCAAGCAGGGAGGAAGGGAGAAAAAGGTGTGTGTGTGTGTGTGTGTGTGTGTGTGTGTGTGTGTGTGTGTGTGTGTGTGTGTGTGTGTGTGTGTGTGTGTGTGTGGAGTAAATGCTGCTTAGTCCATTTCTCTGCAAAACAGAGGCAGGTGGGAGTGTTGTGAAATGAGGTGTGTGTGTGTGTGTGTGTGTGTGTGTGTGTGTGTGTGTGCACCTGGAGTACTCGTGTCAGTGGGAATAAACTCTGTAGAGCTCACTGCTTCATTTTTAGTTCTCAGACTGTTTTGGAAGAAGTTTAAATCTGAGATTCTGATTGAGATGCATTCACAGCTGATTCCTCACCTCACACCAAGAATCAGGTGATTTTTAAAGCCGTACATAATATCGGTTTGGGTAACAAAAAATACCAATATCCAGAACTTTAAGAGTATGTAAATTAAAATTAGCAAACATCCTGGGATAATGCGTCCTGTTTTTAGATTTGTATCCTGCCAACTTTCCCAAAAAAAAAAAATTATTATTGGAATTGGGTGACTTCTGCTATTTTTCGTCCCTGTTTACACCTGGCATTAACATCCATCCATTGTCTTCATATAACAAGTGGAAATCACTTAAGTACGGGCGTTTACACCCTTTTCATAATGAAATTCCGCATTACAGCGCTGTAACAAAGCTCTGCAGTCATTACACCAAAAGACGTCCAGATTGATTCCTGACGGCGTAATACTGATGTCCTGGTGTGTGAATTCATATTGTTATACGGCGTTGATATATGTGGAAGTGTGAGAGAGCACGGCACAGCGGGAGCGCCACATACACACACACACACACAGTCAGACATGCGCACGCACACACACACACACACACACACACACACAGCACTGTTCTCTCCCGCTGGCACTGTTGATCCCGCTCACCTCTGAAACAACACCACCTCAATCCTTCATCATCTTTTAAAACTCAAAGGTGTAACCATTTATTCTTTGATTCATGTTGTTCATGTTTGGAGTTGATGAGTCTTTCTTTCTTTTTTTAATTATGTATTATTAAAAACCAAACATTGTGTAAAGACTGTTGTTGAAATATGAGCCAAAGGAAAAGATGTGTGGAGCTGGATCAGCTTTGTATTCTGTGATAGATCAATCTAAGCCCTTATTAAGTAATGACTCAGCATTTCTATAGAGGCTTCAAAATTGATGAAATCCTAGATTTACATCGTCCAAACCTCTGCAGTAGAACAATAGACAAAGGCTGGTAGTTCATAGTGTGTGTCTCGTGTGTCTTTACTCTCATCCATCTGAAGGCTGCGCAGTTCAGTCCGAGCCTCTCGCAGTGTTAAAAACTCTCAGTCTGACCCCGACTGGCCGGCTCTGCAGCTGTGTGTGTGCTTTGTTGTGCGACGGTCGAGGTTGAAGCTTCCTCCGTCCTGCTTTGACTCCCTCTGCTCTCTGTGGTTCTCACAACTCTGCTCTCGACTTTAAATAACTATTTAGGTCACACCTTCATCCTGTGGCAGCTATAATTAGCAGGTTTGCAGCCTGGCTTTGGAAGTGGTGGAGGACAGTAGCAGGGCGGGTGGGGGGGGGGGAGCATATTCCAGCATTCCTCAGACTTCACAGCAGCAGGAAGAAGAGATTAGCGACTCTTCTCCCTCCCTCCATCCTTCCTCTTCTCCATCCTTCTGTTGGAGAGAGGAAGGATGCTGCCCCCCTCTCCCTTGTGGCTGTTTAGTGTGAGAGCTGGTAAGTGTCTGTTGTGACAGCTGGGGGTCTCATGAGAGGCGGAGTAGACAGCTTGGTGCGCGCCCCCCCCCCGGCCTCTCCTACCCCAACTCCTCCTCAGCTTCCTCACCTCCTTCACACCCATATGGCACCGTGGCCCGAGGTCTGACCTGCTTGTCCAGCAGTGTGAGGTCTCACTTAGCCCTGCAGTGACCCCTCGTTTCATCAACAGCTCGCCGCCTGGGTGGCCGAGCTCCTCCGAGCTCTCAGCGGTCTGCTGCTGCTCCTGCTGCAGGTCGGTACTCGACTGCATCACTCAGGAAATGTAGCGTGTAACGACCAGCTGATAAACACTGCTGGAGCTGCAGGAGTCTGCTGCTGCCACTTTAAATACACAATCAAATAACACATGCATTGTGTAGTGTGGAAAAATATTCTTTGACACAAGAGGGACAATGACCTTCAAGAAGGCGAATAGTCCAGCCTTCTTTGTCAATCTGAAAGCAGAATCACGATATCTGTGTCCTATTAGGACCAAGAGATTTACTGCTTACACTGTAAGTTATGTTATTGTGTTGTGTTATACTGTTAAGCATATGTTATTGTGACTTGCCAAACGAAGCATCCGGTTACATCACTTCATCAATAACTCTGCACAGGGAGGAAGGAAACATTGAGCTTGTTTTCCTCGACATCACTTTATTTATCAATACGTATTGTAAAGGCCTGCATTAAAGGTCTTATTTATAACAACGACACTCTACTGCAGCTCTTTTCTAACATCATTATCTGCAGCAGGCTGTCAGTTCAGCATGTGGTCATTTACAGTGAAAACATTCTGGCACACTTTGTTTCCGTACCCTGTTTCTCCTTCAGTCCTTTTGAACACACCCAGGCCTGCTGGTCTAAAGGAGCGCTCGCAAACCAAACATGCTTTCACATCCTATCAGTTAAAAAAATCTGCACTTTCCCACGCCAAAAGTTTCCACTTTTTATCTTCAAAAAAACGGAGCAAGAAAAGCTCCAACTCTTCAGGGGTCGAGGTGGATTTGAACGAGGCCGAGCTCTCTCTCTCTCTCACACACACACTTTTTTTGGGTTACTCAGACTTGTGCTCACATTGAAATTGTGCCAACAAGTTGCCTCAGTTAATTAATCTCGCTAGAGTACCTAAAAAAAAAAGAAGGAAATGTAGGAAAAATATATGTAAGCATTGAGGGTCAAATTGCCCCAGATGTTTAAATTCTAAACTCACCTCAAGCTGTGATTTACAGCTTGAAAAAAAATGGATTTATTTAAAGGCAGGGTTAGTTATTTTCAAAAACTAGCATGAACCTAAAGACAATTTCAACCAAAATCTTAAAAAGTGGATCTGGAGGAAATGTTCTCGTTGATTATAAATGACAGTTTTTAAAGTAAGAATCAATCGTTTATGAGGAGGCGGCAGGAGTGAAAAATCAAAGTTATCCTCTTCCTTTCCTCTTGAAATAAAAGTTTCAGATGAACTTACATTTACTGGAAAGCTGCCAAAGAAATGTAATATAATTATAGACTTTATGTAATGCGAGCTGTTTTCATTTCCAGGTGATCGTAGTTGTTAGAAAAACCGAATCTGATACTTGATACTTGAAAAAGTCAAAGATCCAGCTGCTGAAGCACAAACCCAAACGTCCTGAATAAATGAAGGAGTTCTGTGATCACGTATCCCTGAGTTCTCATTATCAGGATAAATAGAAGATAGGAAGAGTTGGCAAGCAGAAGGGGGGGGATTAAAAGTTTCCAAGGCTGCAGCTGTTTCATTATACGAGTTAAGCTGCTGATTATTTTTCTGATTAAAAGCATTTATTACTTCTACGAATCCAAGGCTGCGGCATTTTGTTCTTGTTTTTTTCCTGCTGCAGTGAATATTAAAACACAGAGAGAATCAATTTACATCATATTAACCCACAGAAGCAGCACACTTTCAAATTAAAAGCCCAAAAACCAACTAAATATTTCTTACAATTTCAAAAAAGATTGTTTTTTGAGGACCTGAAAAATGCTAAAGGAAAGAAATATGTAGTTTTTCATAAACAGATGTTCGTCCCATCATTTTCTGACTCTTGGTTATCTACCAGTTTTTATTAATTGAGCGACTCATTCATACGATGAGACATGAGTTAATATCGTAATGACGCTCCCAATTCTTTGTCTCCAACATTTCAAGTCAAACTTTTCGTCTCCCCTGAGTGCACTGAAGCAGCGTACCATGAAAGACACACAACACTCACTGTTTAATGACAGATGCTCAACAGACCAAATACCTCAACCTTCTCCTCCCTTTCTCTCTCTCTCTCTCACACACACACACACACACACACACACACACACACACACACACACACACACACACACACACACACACACACACACACACACACTCTGACAGACAGGAGAGCTTCTGCACTGTGTCAATCAAACCTCTTCAAGAGGAGCTGAAGGTCTCTGAGAAAAACTTCTGGACAGTTTTTGATTTGATTCACATCGTTAACTCTTTCTGCTCCAGACAACTTTATTTCATTGCGTTTAATTCATTCTTTTTAATCTTCTGTATTTAATGCAGGATATGAATTTCTCTTGCTTCGCCCTTTTTTAATGGGAGAAAGAAAGTCCGCCTCTGGTCTGATAACGTTTGGTTTAAATCAAACATTTAAGATCTGTGCGGCAATATCAGATGATTCGATCCCCAAGTTTCACTGCACGACCGTGAGTTTAATGTTTTACAGATAAATTATAAACTGACAGATTTTCAAAATAAAAGCAGATCCTGCACACACTACTACTACTACTAAGCTTCAGATTTTCCTGTGATTGATAGATACACCCAGTCGAACGTTTAGAGGAAGGTTACTGGATTTGTA